CAGCAGGAAGTTAGAGATTTGATCACCAGACTTTGTGGGTGTACATATTTTTTTGCTTGGACTATTTAGCCAACCCCATCATAATCTTTTTCAGTCAGTGTAACTGCTCTCTTTGATGTGCTTTAAACTTTCAATGATATGCTAATCTTTTTTGAAAGTTAAAGAGTGCATGATATAAAATGTCTGAATCAGCTGTAGAGCGGTGACCACGCTATAGCTGTGATAAAACATTACTAAGCAACTGTCCTATAGATTGTTATTAAGATAAAAACATTGGCCTGAATAAATGTTCAACATACCATTACTAAATATTTTCCCCTTGTGTTTCAGGGATCTTTGGTCAGAAGTTGGAGGAGACAGTACGGTATGAACGCCGGTATGGGAACAAGCTCGCCCCTATGCTGGTAGAGCAATGTGTGGATTTCATTCGGCAGCGGGGTCTTCGGGAGGAGGGCCTGTTCAGGCTGCCCGGACAGGCCAACCTGGTCAAAGAGCTGCAGGATGCCTTTGACTGTGGAGAAAAACCCTCTTTTGATAGGTAAGGCAATATGTGAACATGCTGGCTGGTTCAGTTTCCTTTGGGTATGTTAATGTGTAGCTATGTTCTGATCGTTGGCTGGTCAAGGTATGCACCCCTGAAACCACACAGGTGCTCCTGGTGGCCGTGAACAAATCCCTCCAAATATTTACAAAAAACAAAAATGGCTGAGTGGATTTCAGGTGTCGTTGCATAGTTGCATAGAGTCTTGGTGTTTTGCACCAGAAAGCTATAGCATGCAACAAAGGCATTGTGACAAACTATGTAACTAACATATGAACCACTCTCAAAATGAAACTCACTCCATTTAAACATAGCTCTAAAATTTAAACAAACCTAACAAACATAAAGAAGACGGCTCTCAGTTCTTCCTTCAACTGTGTGTATGTGGCTGTACTGAGGGACTGAGAGCTGTTTTAAATGCAACAACCTTCATCCATAACTTAAGACAAAGCAATGCATGAGTGATGGAATACACCACCTCCACATCTCTTCTCTGCTTTGCCTCCCTCTTTCACTCCACCCACCACTCCCACCAGCTGCCAGTATCTGAGCTATGCAGACATCATCTCCCTGGAAACAGTACACAAGATCATATTCTGTGGTTTTGTCACCTGCACAAAGACATCTGTGCTCTCCTACTTCTGGTATACTGCAACTCATATCACGTAACAGACAAAAAAAAGTTCTGAAATAACTTATCAAATACCCTTTTACATTAGCTTTATGATTCCAAACTCGAGCGCTCTTCTCTGTCATTTGACACTATCTTTGCTTACTCCATTAATTTTCTTACTGCAGGAGGCTTGATGTTTATGATTTGTTTGTCTTCATGTCCTGTAGCCATAACAAATTATAACCTCAGTCCTTCCGTTTCTATGTCTGTTTTCTTTCTCTCCAGTAACACAGATGTGCATACAGTAGCTTCTCTACTCAAGCTGTATCTCAGAGAGCTGCCAGAGCCCGTCATCCCTTTCCATAAGTATGATGAGTTTCTGACCTGCACCAAGCTCCTTGGCAAAGATGATGAAATGGTAAGAAAGAGTGCTTGATTAGTTTCTTTTAACTTATACCTTCAGACAAATTGCCTTTCACACACTTTACTCCCCAACATATAGTTTCTTTTTGGTTTGATTCCTATATCAATAGAGGTCAGCACCAAAAAGCCCTAACATAAATCTTTCAAAGGCCCATGCTGTGGCATTAAAGCTGGTTTCTCGCTGCCCGGTCATCCATCCACTGTCAGAGTCGGCAGGTAAAGCTGCCAACAATGTCGATGGAGAAATCAATTACAAGGCGAGACGAGGTTGAGCAGAACACTGTCACTTTACTGAGGTTACTGGTCACAAGTAACTGTACTTAATCCAGAAGTCCGATTAAACATGAAACATACTCAGGTCAATAATACCAGTCCAGAGTCGGTACCGGCAAACTCTCACAGCCAAGGTTTCCACAAAAGATCAGTCGTAAATGGAAGTCCATAAGTCAATGCACAGTAAACGATCAGAATCAGGAGAGTTAGGCAGTAATCGGGGGTCAACAGGCTATCCAGGATCAGAGCTGGAATAACAGGCACAAAGAGAAAACACTGGAAAGTCTGAACGAAGGTTAGAACAATCTGCCTATAAAGGGGGGTCAACAGGTGCAGATCATTACTACTGATTATAGTAAAAAGTCCGTAGCTGAGGTGGGACTGTAGACTGGATGTGGTGTCAGAATAAAAGCATGGTACCAGAAGCAGAAGAGACGGAATCACGACATTCACTGCTCTGCTCTTGTTAACAATGGCTTTGTTGTGCCTGTCTTTACTTCTAGCATCTAAACAGGACTTCTCTGAAAGGCATAGTTAACTGCTCCTTCACAGCGTCCAAAACGTCTTTCCCCTAGTTTTCACTGAAAACTCCAAGTTTGTGCTTTTGTGTGTATGTATTAGTGTGTTCAGAATAAGGCAGCCCCCTGAAACCCGACTAGTTCAATCATCAGTCGGGAGACCCAGCAGTCAACTGTGAAACTGTATTAGTAAAAAGTCTAAACAGTTTTTTTTCTTTTAATCTCAGCGACACATGGATTCTTATGACTGTTGTTAAAATCCTCTCATGAAGACAAAAACACATTCTCTTTGATTATAAAGTAAACATACCTTTCTCTTTTTCACTGAATTGTTTTGTCCTTTCTTTGGTCTTTGGGTGTGAATTATAAATTAACCGGGTGTAGTATACATCGAAATCAGTTGTTGTTCTGGATTAAACTGATGCTACCTAAAAAGTGTCTATCATCTGCAGGGTATGAAGGAGTTAAGAAGGCTTGTGGAAAGTCTACCTCCAGTGAACTACAACCTTCTCAAGTACATCTGCAGGTATCAGTTGATTGTATAACTGGTACGGCTGGGTATCATGCCAAAAATTTTGATACCTTGACTTCAGTGCTGCTTCCTAAACAATACTTTTTTCAACACAAATTATATAAAATCAATTTTAACTATATATATTCGTGGCATTTTTGTGCACTTAAAGCAGTTTCATAGCATAAAAAGTAAACCTATTTAACACAACCTTAGGCTCTTTTAACATTACCAATAAAGAAAGGTGTTTTCCGATACTTGATTTTACAGAAGTAATTCGATCGATGCCATAAAAGTATTGACGTTCGATACCCACCAATATTAAGTGGGTAAAATTTCAAATTGTGATAATTTTTCCAAAGTGAAAAGTGTAAATTTGAAGATATTTTCCTGCTTGTCAGATTTCTAGATGAAGTCCAGTCATATTCAGGAGTGAATAAAATGAGTGTCCAGAACTTGGCTACAGTCTTTGGGCCAAATATTTTGAGACCTAAGGTTGAGGACCCGGTAGCTATTATGGAAGGTCAGTACTGTGCATCAGTCGTGTGCTTTTTATGCTCAACTTATCTTGAAACATTATAAAAATAATGAAGCGTGGTCTTATGTTGTCAGGTACTGTTCTGGTCCAGCAGCTCATGGCTGTTTTGATTGGCCAGCATGACGTGCTATTTCCTCACAGTGAGGACAACCCAACAACCCTTGAGCTTGTCAACAACAACAGTATTGAACTAACACGGCAACAAGCCACCACAACTACCTCCACCGTCACTTCAGTGTCTGAGAATGCACATGGTCCGGCAGTGTGTTTGGGAAACACCCGAGTCTTCGATGAATCGCCAACATGTAGGCAACAGTGGTTCCCCTCGATCAGCAAGCCCTCGTAATGGTGTTGTAGCACGCTTTGACATCACCCGCAGTCCACCACTGACTGTTAAAAAGAACCAGACATTCAGCAAAGGTTGCGGGATTGTTACAAATGGTTCATTTAGTTCCTCACCATCCTCAGACCCCAATCAAGAAAGAGGCCAGACTCTGACCGGAGGTGGGACTTTACCAGTATGGCGTAGCGGGACACTCAAAGCCTCCGGCACAAAAATGGGGACCAGTGGTGTGACAAATGGAAGTGGCACTGGAGGGAATGGGACTGGAGTTGTGCGCATGGGCATTTCAGTTACTGATGTGGTCACAGGCAGCCTGAGGGACCGCAGTGGTCTTTGGGTACCCAATGGTTGTGTAACATTAAGAGAAAACAGCAAAACATGTGACTATGGGGATCAAACGACAAATCAGAATCGCCTATCCACATATGATAATGTCCATTTAAACCATCAGAATCTGCAGCAGCAAAACCAGATCACCAACACATGTCTGAACATCGGCTGTGAGGATAAACAGAGTGTAGACAGCGCCACCTGGTCTACCTCCTCCTGTGAAATTTCTCTTCCTGACAACTCCACTTCCTGTCGTTCCTCCACCACTACCTGCCCTGAGCAGGACTTCTATGGTGGTCACTATGAAGACTTGGTTGGACCACCTCTGGATAATGAGCCTCCCCCATGTGGTGAAGGAGGAGAGGGGGAGGGCAGAAACAGCAACAGAGAAGGAAGTGGAGATGGAGCAGGGAGGAGTAGTCGGGGAACTTGCAGTAGCGACAACAGTGATGGCTTCACTGTTGGTAATGGGCCTGGCAGCCACAGTGCTTTGCACAGTTTGGTGGCCAGTCTTAAACAGGAGATGCACAAGCAAAAGACTGAGTATGAGGCCAGGATAAAGAGGTAGGTTCCTATCTTTGAGAAACTGAAGGCGTGGCATTAGAAAGTTCACGGCTGCACCTGTGCTAAGGGAATCAACAGCAGCAGGGTGTTACAACATAGAAGAGTCCTGTAAAGACAGGAGCAAGTGTATACACAGGGTACAGTGAGAGGAATGTTCAGTATAGCTAGATGTATTCTGTGAGTTACTAAAAATAAATGAAGAGTGCGGAAAAACTATATACTGGAAAATCAGCAATTATTTTGATTACAACCTGCTTCATAATTACAGTCAGCTCTCAGATGAGCCACTGCTTGTTTTGTAACTGCTGTCCCTTCTTCTATTACTGTGTTTAACCTTCTTTGCAGCTTGGAGCAGCGTAACCTGGAACTGGAGACAGAAATGGTGAGTCTAAACGACGAGCTGGACCAGGAGAGGAAGAAGTACACCATGGCGGAGATCAAGCTGCGCAACGCTGAGCGCGCCAAGGATGATGCCGAGCGGCGAAATCAGATGCTGCAGAAAGAGATGGAACAGTTTTTTTCCACGTTTAATGACCTCACTGCAACTGGCAACACCACAGCCACCGAACCACGCCGACGGGATCGCAACACCACCATCTGGATACAATGAAGGAAGGCAGGAATGTGGGCTGATATGCCAGTGAAGACTGGAAATGGTTGATTATATGATGTGAATGTTACACAGACTCCAAACAGGATTTGGTTGCTGGTTGTAGAAGGAAAGATGGGAAGTTATACCGCAGAGGATATTGGTATGTTTTAATTTAAGAAACAGGTGGTGTAAGGGTAAGGCAAGCCACTTGTATAAATGTATACATCACCTGGAGTGATGTCAGTGACATTATGTGTAAATACAGCATTATTTAAACAGTTTGGACACACTCTCCAATGAATTCAGAAACTGTGGTGGTAGCTGAACATCTGACTGGGGAGTACAGGGAGAGTACTCCATGAGCTGCGATGATATACAGTACTAATATTATGTTACGGATAGGAGAGAAGGCAAAACATTCAAAAAGGCTGTGTTCAGCATAAAAATACAAACTTTGGACCTGAAGCAGACCATGCCGAAACTTCTCACTGTCTTAATTCGTTTTTAAAATATAACCAAAAGTACCTTATTGTTCCGTGTAATACTGTTCTGCTCATGTAAATAGAGGGAAACAATGCAGAAAAACACAGTATAATATGTACAGAAAAAGGAAAGTAATACTTAAATGTTTCTCTGGTATTTAAGTAAAGTTATCAGTTTGTGATATTTTATATTTTTCCTTGCACTTAATGTTTGTTTATTCTCTCAGCAAGGTGGTACTGAATGTTCTGTCAGTGTGTACTTTTTAAAATTAACACTACAGTATATATGCTCCTGTGTTTCTGTGCTGTTACATTTACCCCATGACCAAAAAGAGAGCCTGTACTGTAATTATTGTATAGATAATCTAAACTCCTTGTTATATACAGAAGGATATGGCATACATGATGAGTGGATACTGTCCAAGGAATCTTTTGTAGCCTGTAAAAATAAATGTTAAGACTCGCACGCTTAGGTCATTGGCATAAAACCCAGATAAAATTAAAATATTTGTTGTGAAGTCATAATTTCAGCTAACAAAATGTAATTTCTCATGAAAAGATGGATTGCTGTTGTTATTCTGTGAATGCCCCCTACAGTTTAAAATCTGCCTGTGAGCATATGACATGCAAGTTTGTAAAATATTCTTCTGTAGCCTTTTGATAATGTGTCCATCTGACACAACTGGCTTTCATCCTAACCGAGCACAGAAATGTGTTTTTGGGTTATAACTGTGAAAATTACAGCATCAAATGTGTCAACATTGAGCACGTTATCATGGTTGCTAAATTCCTTAGCAAGTGGTGTGCACATGATGGTGCAGAAGTCCACGAAGGTCAGTGTAAATGAATGTTTGTAAAATGACTGCATATTGATGAAGTCTTTATGAGTGTATTTATTTAGCTTAAACCAAATGCGTATACACAGGTTAGATTTACTAATGGGTACAAAGCGGCACATGTGAAATTCTGTCAAAAGAACTTTAAGTGTGCACGTGTGCACAGACCTGCTGCAGGCTACTTTCCCTCTGAAAACCAAATCCAGTTTAAACCTGCTACTAGTCACCGCACCACATCTACAGTGTGCACGTGGAGAAAAAAGTGCCTGAACAACTGAAGAAAGGAAGAGGGGAGCCTGTGCTTCTCATTTTGCACCCTTCATTGACGAAAAAACAGGCTTAAGCCAAGCAGACAGTGTCACGTCATTCTGTGAATTCCACACAAAAGAGCAGATTTGGGCACAGGGCAAGAGGGAGAGGAGGGCAAGGATAGAGGGGTATTTTCATGACATGATACTTGATACACAAAAGAACTTAATATAAATAAAATTGCATTTTCATGTGACTCTTCCTTTGTTGTTTAGTCTTTGAGTGGGTCTTTCAAGGTTGCAACTGTTTTGTATTTATTAACAGGTTTGCAGAGGACTCAGTTCCTCATTCATACAGTGTATGAGAGAATAGTACATTAAGACTGGTTTGTCAGACCAATAGTCCAACATTAGCGACATCATTATTTCTAACTATGACCTTGAAGCCTAAACACAAAAATTTATTAACAATTTTATGACAGTGTGAAAAAATAGCACATTGTAGACATGGACAGATCATGAGACAGTGGGACCCTAGGAACAGACATCGAAAGGCTCCTACCTTTCTTAGATTGAGCAAGCATGACATTTGTAGTCAACTTGTGTCTTCTGCTTTGCATCTGTTTTTAGCTATTTTGTTTCTATTTTTACTAGTTTTTTTATGTCTGAATTTTTGTTGTTTTGTATATTTTTGTAGTTATTTTACTGTCTTTTGTTGTCATTTTGTATTTCTTTAGTGGTTTTGTATCTTTTTGTAGCTGTTTTGCATCTATTTTTTCCTGTTCTGTGGCTTTTTGCACTTGTTTTTAGCAATTTGATTGACTTTCCAACAGAAAGGTTAATAGTCCCTTCACAGTTCTCTGGTCTCGAAGGCCCACGTCCCCATGGGCCCCTGGGCCTGATAGGCAGGCCCATCTTACCTTAAACCTGATGATTTTTACTCTTCTTCCTCTGTGCAGAAACATCCATGTTATTAAATCCAAGGTTGATAATTTTCCATATGACGAACCTGATGTTTCCTGTTGGGCTGATTTTCAGGCTCAGTACATCCTTCATCGTGTATCCCAAATTTAAAATGACTGTCATGTTAATTTAAAACCCACAGGGTCAGAAAAATAAGTTGGCGTGCCCTGACCTAAAACTGGCTTAAGTTACAGGCCTTTAGTAAAACTCCCTGTCACTTTTCTTTAAAGTGGTCACCTGCTCCTTCACATTAAAAGCACGATTCTTTCAAAATCCTGAATAGTTATTATTATAAATCAGTCACAGGAAATCTAATCTCTTTGTCGCTGACATTAGAACAGCTGTTATTTGGAGAGAAAAAAATACTTGTTCACATGTTTAACTTAAGAAATGGGTAAAAATGATAAAGAACCCGTCCCGAAAATTAAGAGAAATTGCCAATGGATAAAAGGATGTCTCTTTTTACCTAATCCAGCAAATAAAACACCTGTCAAAACAAAGCATACCTCCAACACTGGCCTAATAACTTATACAGCCATAACTTTTAAAGGGATAGCTACTACAGTACTTACTGTATCTCTGATGGTGGACAAATTTATATATTGACATAGTGCCCACCCTGGGAAGCGTTAATGCGCTTGCTTTCATCCTGCACCACCAGGGGTGGCTGTGGCTCATGAGGTAGGGCAATTGTCTTCTGACCAGCAAGTTGGTAGTTCAACTCCCGGTCTCCCCACATGCCTCAGTGTCCCTGAGCAAGACACTGAACCCTGAATTGCTCCCGGTGGCTTGACTAGTGCTGGTGTGTGGCAGCCTGTTGTCATTGGTGTGTGAATGGTGTATGATCTCCTGTAAAGCGCTTTGGCCAGTGCAACACACTGTGAGAGAAGCGCTATATAAATACAGTCCATTTACCACCGGGCAATATTTAGTTACTTATTCTGCCTGAGAACCTGTTAATAGATGCCAGCCTTTAGCTGTGTCCAGCTGTGTCTACAACTAAGAAAACTGAATTAGAGTCTGTGTAGAAGAAGAACATCACCACATACAATAGAAACCCTACATACAGAACTGAAAATCACTCCAGCTAAAAGTAAAAAGCTACACCAATGTCCAAGATCAAAGGTTTTGTTTATTTTCAATCACATACATATACTATTTTTACATACACAGTTCCTTTAAAATGTTGTTTATAGTAACAGCTTTCAGTGATTTTTTTTTCTTTTGCATTTGTTTTGACTTTATTTGAAACGCTATATCCTGAAGCTTTGAGATCAGCGTGAAACAGATACAATTTTTTTTTCAACCTGACAATGTCAAAAGAATGATTCATTAAAACAGCACGGTGTAAAAGAAACGAGAGAGAAGGAATCATAGAAGAACTGAAGAACAATATCACCTGATTCAGATGGTTTTGTCATTGTAGAGTTCCACATTTCAGTCCATATCTAAGACTCTAAACATTGTAGATTTGCCTGACCTTTGCAGTAGCTTGCCTCCCTGTCTGAGTGCAATAAGTGTTTATTGCATTGTCGGATTGTTATTATTTACAATATGAATTAAAAGAAAGAAGTGAAAAACAAGAAGCTGGGGATCACAAGTACCGAGTCCAAAGATTTTATGTTGGCACAGCTGAGTACAAGATGTAACCCAACTCTCATTCTGGCAATAAAATTGTGGCTGGATGACGAGTCAGCCACAAATGCAAACATATGACTGTACCGACCTTAAGAGCAATCACACAAAAGTTAGGAGTTTCTACTGAAAGGAAAATTTGAAGACATGTACTGCACTGTAAAATGATTTGATCCAATTCTACATCAACTACCAATTCAACTTTATGGACAGTTTGAGTTGAATGCTGGTTCATTTGAAATCTCTCTCTCACACACACACTGATGAGCAGAGCAGCAATGATGTGTGCAACTGTGAAACCATTCGTTTCTACATTCAGTGCTGACAACCCAGCTGTTAGTATAATCTGTACTTCAGGTGCCTTCAACAGGACCAAAAGCACCTTTTTTATTATTATAACAACTGCATGGAGGGATGTCCTATAAAAAGATCCAAAATTCACATTCAGTAAAAGAAACAAAAGACATATGTTTTGGTTTTGTACTCCATAGTGACCAGAACAGTGTAATTAGGATGGTTAAAAATGCCCTGTAGAAAAACTACAACAGTGTTGTGGGTATTTGTGGTGTAGGAGCCGACTCAAACACTAGACCCTTTTTATGAGAAATTCATCTGAACATTTTCAAAACACAAAGAATTTTAAAGTTGCACCCTGTTTTGAAAGATTGCCCTGGCCAGACCCTGAACAGGAAGCCCAGCTAGCCGTAGCTTTTCCAGGAGACCCCGCCCTCAGTTACCCTCTTAGCTCGGTGAAGGTGCTGTAAGTCTGTGTGTGGTTCAGTGTACACAAGCCATAGGTAGACAGAGCGTTAACAAAGTAGCTATATGATGTTAAATGGACAGGATTTGGGGGGTATTCAGACGAAGATTACAGTGATACAGGTGGACTATCACGTCTTAAGAAACCAATATGTGAAATGTTGATGTAAACGGTGCTGTCGCCACATCTCCACAGAGGTGTTTTAACAGTGTCAAGAACCATGCAATTTGCATAAGCAGGAAATATGGTGATATTCAGAGAAATGATTGTAAATGGTGTTTTGACATACTTGCAACAGACATCTCAATGTGTTTAGTTAAGAGACAGAGTAAGCATGCTTGGCTGTGCTCTTGGTAGTTGTATATTGTTAGCTTACCTGATTGTCAAGTGATAAACACTACACAACGCCTCCAGTGCAAACTATGCACAAAGGAGGGACTCATTTGTTTGTTTAGTTCACACAAGCTCACAGTTTCCAGAATGTTGCATTACATTGTAAAATTACATTGTAACATATTATTTCTTAAATCACCATCAGTGGGTTTTTCGCTTGGAAACCAACAAACCTACAGGAAAAAATTAAATTTGGCAGTGGAAATAAATTATTTCATACTTCATTCCTTTTTAACTTAATCTACAGGTCAACTGTTTTTCTCTGATAGCCACAAGTACAGCTTCTAGTATTGTTGTGAATAGTGAAAATATATTATATGATAGTTATTGTTTGGCCTAGATTTTGGATGCAATGTTCTATATAGGTAAAGATATGGTCTCCTCTGATTCCAGTCTGCCAAACTGCCAAACAACTTCTTTTCTTAAATTAATACACAATGGATTAGCACAATCAAAGATTAGATAACCTAGACCAGTGGACAGAAAGAGTGCACTACAGCTGCCAAACCCTGTCAATGCAAAACAAGTTCAATGCAAAGCATGCACAGAAGTGTGTGTGTGTATGCACTAACTGACCCAAAACAAAACGCCACCCAGTATTTATGGAAACTGTTTCAATTTTGCAGTAGAACTAAAAAGTAAAATTAATTCAAAATGACAGAAACCCTTTCATGATGTGAATAAAAACTAGCACTGAAGGAAGCAATTTGACTTTACACCACAAACTCAGAAATCACTGGCTAACACCTAAAAGTCAAAGCAACAGTTGTTTTTGTTTTTTTTTTCATTTCCACCAAAACCTTTAAGGCAGAAAAAGAAGAAGCAGAGGGGGAAAATACCCAAAATAATATGATTTCTGCACCTGCAATTCTTCATTCCAAAAGGCACTTGCCATATTTAGGGTCCATCTAATAGACACAAGTGAAGCGGCCTCTATCCAGTTCCTTTTAATTAACAAAAAATAAAGCACGTGTTTTTGGGTAAAGCGAAATGATGTACATGAGTTTACTGTAAAATGAAACAGCACATAGCTACAAGGGTAACACTCCCGTCTGCCTTTAAACTACTCACTGTGTCACTTGTATTTCTTTCTAAAAGCATTTCAAAGAGTCAAATAAAAAAGAATAGCCTCCTTGTGGTACCGCCACAAACCAACCTTTTGTGTGTATGAGGTTAATGATACACAGTGACATTCAGGGCTGTAAGCCAGCCCACAGCGGGGTGAAGGGACTGATCATACACTAGCCTGGGAAATAAAAGGGGCATTACGTACAAATGAAACTCCTTAAAAGTAATCTTATAAAGTCTGAGCACATTCAAAATAAGTTATTTCCGGGTGTACTGACCCCTTTAAGTCCCAAACTCTGCTCTGACATCTATTAATGTTTTACTGGCTTTCCTGTGTTTCACAAACACACACACACACTCACGTCCTATCCTGTGACCAGACCCCCATGTCTGGGGGTGAGTTAGTTTACATGGTATATACAAAAGTCTCTATACAGACTCAGTTTAGCATACAGTGAGATTAGCATTGTTTTAATTCTAATCATGCAGGACTACAGCAATAGGCAGGGGCAACTGAGGTGGAAAGCAATGATGTGGCAAGGTGAGCTAGTCAGAAAAAACTCCCAGTGTACTGGCCATCAGTCCCACTCTGTGTGCCCTTCAACTGTACAGAATTACATTATTTACAAATATCGCAGGGAGCACCACTCTGGGTGAGGGTGACTATATATTCCTGCAGAATAACCACATAAAAATACACAAATCAGGCAACCTTGGAGATTGTGTTGGGTGGGAATGTGGGTGTCTAAGACGAAGCCTTGTGTTAAAATACAACAGTCAACATGTCATTACATATCGTTATGGATTGGAAAGAAGAATGGGAGAATGAAGTTTGTATTGTACAGAGTCAATGAGCAAAATGGCAGCCCACCTTGCCACAATGATTGGAGCAAAAACGCCTCCGTAAGGAACTGGGAGACCAGCAGCCAGCCGATATGCACTTTACAGGAGATGCAAGTCTATTTGGTCATTTTGCTCAGATGCCATATAGAAGATATTTGGGGTAATGTAAGCAAAGCAAATAAGAGGATCATTACCATATATGTCAGCGCATTTACGTCAGTTTAAATACCAATGCTGCTTTTAAATGACAATGCACAGGCTTTAGATTTCATCATGTCAGATTCCGTTTCCACTTCAGCTCTTACTATATTCATTTTGATATTTACTTTTTTTTTGTATTTTCACTTGGTCATTTCGGTTGGGTTCTTCACCTTCGGAAGAACACGGGGTTGCGCAGGCAGGCGGCTAGTCACCTGCAACACCCCAGGGGTCCTGTAGAGGTCTCCAGGCTGCTGTCAGTGTCTGAGGCCAGGGTCTGGTCAGTGGACATAGAGGAGATGTCGTTGATGGAGGAGGAAGGAGGGAGGCTCTCGCTGCTGTTCACGGCTGCACCTGTGCTAAGGGAATCAACAGCAGCAGGGGGTTACAACATAAAAGAGTCCTGTTAAAGACAGGAGCAAGTGCATACACGGTACAGTGAGAAGCATGTTCAGTATAGTTAGATGTATTCTGTGAGATCAAGACATCAGCAACATTAGCAACAGCTGTGTGGACCACAAGTACAGTTTGTCTAAAATGAGACAACAATGAGACAAAGGTAATTAAGGTTTGAGTCCAGTGGGTCCCAAAGGAAAGATAGTTGTAAATGTTTGCCAGTATTTATGTTGTATGTGTCATAGAAGGGTTGAACTTGTTGCCCAACCTGAGGGGATGTTTAAGTGGTTCTTTTAAATGCAGGTGTTCACCAGTCTGTGCGTCCCATTGCTATGTTATGGTAGAAGACAATCTTCTGTCAGGCATTCTCCTTTTAAAAAAAAAAAAAAAACTATCCAATTTTCTCATATTGATCTTTTTTTCAAAATCAAAGGTGGAAGTAGAAACTTTTTGAGATTTCATTAAGGAGGAATTAATTCAGCTGTGAACTTGCAGACAGAGTGTTAATATCCATTTTCAAAAGAAGGATGAGTAGGTATCAAGGGATCACTCAGCTCAGCCTCCCAGAGTTTGGACAGCACCATCATTACATTCTCAGTGAGTGGGTTCTGTTCTCTATGATTACTTTATGAACAAATCAAAAAATGGGTAGTCTGGCTTTGTCACCAGAGCACAAAGAGTAAAGCCTGATTAAAAAGGATGATAAAAGCGCTCAAACAACCACTTTTATTTCCCAGTATACCAGTAGTCCTGTAATTTGTACAGAGGACATGTACAGAGAGGTAGGAGATTCATGAATCTGCTGTTTGTGTCCATTCCCTGTGGGAGGTAACTGTTTAATGGAGAGTTGTGGGCACTTCAGCTGACACAAAATAACATGCAGAACAAATCAGGATTAATGGCTGGCATCAGTTCCAGCAGTCACTGCATGTGCAGATTTACTTACTGTAAATGTCTGTTGCCATGCATGACCTCAGCACAAACCACAACTTCTTTTTGAAAGACAAAAAAATCATAAATGCCAGATTAATCAAACCTTTAAATCATAAATTAATTAAGAATAATCTTGGGAGAAACTCTGGCAAATGCTATAATGTGGGATTAAAACTGTTGTGTGCTGTTTTGGCACTGCTAAGTCTTCATATTTAAGTCTTGCACTGTACTGCCACCTTTTGCACTCAGTGAATTCTTTTTTGAAATCAAAGACTCCTTTGAGATACAGTGAAAGTGAATACTTGTATAGTACTGAACATATTGCAAGTACACTGAATGGAACAAGCATTTAACACTGGCCTGAACAGTGTACCCTAAACACAATAGTATTAATAGAATAACAAATTAAATCTCAAATATACCCAACACAGCTCCAGGTTCTGACTGAGGTACAGCATGTGTGTGCACTCGGTTCTTGTGTTTTCCTGCTGCAGTTAAACACTGCCGTCTATAGCCCATGTACTGCACTGCAGCTTCAGACAATACTCTGTTACAAGTGGATAGAAGAAGAAAGACAGAGGTCATGAATTTGTGAGAACAGGAGATGAAAAACAGCTGTTGCAATATGGGCTAAATTCATCATATGAACTCATTTTTCCCTTATAATATTTTCACTTGAAGAGCTAGATACCACTGCTTACATGCAACTAATTGTAATGCTTGTATTTGGGCCAAGTGAATGAATCAGATGGTTTATAGGGTTTCTACAAGAAGAAGGAGTGAGAGCAGACGTCTTTACTGCTCCTCTTGTCTTTTCTACGATTTTTCACATCTTCTACATTTTCAAGTCTTTGAACAAATTCTACAACTATTAAAATGCCTCCAAGAGGGAAAAGAGCTAATAAATCATAAGCGAACGAGGATGTTGAGGCAGAAGAGGATTATATTTCAGCGGCGCAAGTAACAGAGATGTTGAGTCAGCAGAAGCAGATGTACACCGCACTGTTGAGCCAACAACAAGACAACTTCAAAGGTTTTGTGCAACTACTTATGGAGACAAATAACAAGACTCAACGACATGACCAGAGAAATACAGGAGATAAAAACGAGTTTGCA